ATGTTGAGCATCGTCGGGCAGGGCACTGGGAATGGGGCCGGTGAAAGCATTAAAGTGCGGTGAATGCAGAGTTGCTGTCACCGGATCCAGCGGTACGTGAGCGGGGGACACTTGGTGAGAGCGCTAGGAGACTCCTGTAAAATGCGTAGACAGACGGTGCTGTGTTGCATAACTGGTACTGAACTTGCAGAGGCAGACAGGGCTCAGAAAACTGAACACAGGGAAGGGCAGAAAACTGATGCAATAAATTCACGGGTAAGGGACCTGTAAACAGATGCAGAAGCGAATGGTCAGCAATTCTAACGCTACAAATCTAGCAGTTGCAGATGCCTGGAGGTTATGAGAGGATTGTGTCAGAGACAGCGGCCGGACTCGCGTGCTGTCCTAGAGTAGCATTTGCTGTTGCCGCTGCTGGAGACAGAATACTGGGCAAAGGGGACTATTGATCTGATGCATTTCTTAATATGCTCCAAAAGAAGAACAATTTACATTGCTTTCTAGCTGTACATGAGGATTTATCCTTACCTATAAAGAGGTGTTTGAACTGCTGGCACAAAGCAGTTCAGAATAGTAGGTGAATTTAATTTTAGTAGCATTGCAAGGGTTATAGGGCTAATTAGTCTTTAGAAAAGTCTGAATGTTCTGGAAGCAAAGAGTGACAAAAGAATTACGTTAATTACTAAGGAGATTTTATGCTCCATTAAAATAGAAGAAAGTTGATCAATTATGTTAATCAACATCAGAGTTCTAAAAGTAGTAAGTAGTCATTTACAGAAAAGATCAAGCATAATCTGGATGAAGTCCATAAGAGCACTAACAATTCTGGATGATAGGGTTATATTAAACCTTGTGTAAGTATGAGCTTTCCTTGGGAGGAAAACAGTTTTTTCTTTATAAGGGGGTGCTTTTGCCTTGTTTGGGGAAGGGTGGAGAAATGTTAAGTGGAGATAATACAACTCAATTACACTTTTAATATTAAAAATACAGTTCTTCATTTGTCCATAAAATTCTGGCTTCTTTCATTTGTGTATATTTTACATGGTCCCTCCTGCTTTCAGTCTTTCTGGAAGAGAATTTTTACTGTTCAGGGTTTCATTGGTATCACATACAGTCTGCAGTGAGATAGGTGAGGAGTTGCTACTGAGATTACTAAGAAAGATGACTTCCTGAGGGGTATTTATGCTATGTCTAATGGAATATTATAAGAGAGTAGCATTACATAATAGTCTGCAATATATGCTTTATATTTTAGTACCTAATTCTGTCATCTTCTGTTAATGTTTTTGTTTTTTACTACACCATTATTTTAACTCTGACAGCATTAATTTTGTTTGAATATCTTTGCGTTGTTTTGAACACTGGAATCTTTTTCAGAGATCATGAAAACACAGCTTCAAGCTTGCTGCAGGATCACTATCTTGATTCATCTTGGAGAACTGGTAACAGTCTCGTAAGTGTTTTTTAAATGAATGGTACTTCTAGCAAGGTTATCAGAACTTCTGTTTTCTCCATTCTCTTCCCTCCGTGTACATGCTCTTTTAAGTTTTTAACCAGTGCTTTTTCTTTACTTTTAGAAGCTATTATATATTCTTGATAATCAAGTAACAGCGTGACAGAATTTAAATATTAAGACATATTTGTATTGTTTGCAGCCATGGGCATTGGACAGCAGCATTAGTGAAGAAAACAGGGCTGTCATTGAGAAAATGTTGCTGGAAGAAGAGTATCCTTTTCCTGATTTGCTTGTATGTTTTCCTGTATAACAGTAGAAAACTTCCTGTTTCCAAAGGAACAGGACAAATCTTTTCTTGTTAAGGTGACTGAAGCACTGTCATCTTGTAGGTAGATTGTAGAAATCATGGAGGACCCTTGAATTAATCATCCAGCTACCTGCAGCTTCCTCTGCTTCCGATTCTTCAGAAAATTACTCCAAAGCTTGCGGGATTTAAGCTGTCACTGGCATCAAAAATAGCAATATTCATCCCCACTTAGCTGCTTGTTCAGTGCCACCTCCAGCATTGTGCTGATGCAGCTGTTTGTGTGGCTTCATAGTGAACTTGATCAAACAGCTGATCTGACTAAAAATAGCTACTTCTTTTTGCTGAATTGTTCTTCACTTGGACTGGTTTACTGTCTGGGTTTGTCTGGCTACATTCATACTTCTGCCAGAATGCAAGATGAAAACAGGAAGGAAGAGCTGCTGCTTTTTTTCTTCTTCTTTTTCTTTTGAGCAGTGTTGGCTTAAATAGTCTTACCAGTAGTAGCATTTCTGGCATAAGGTGACCTCACAGATTAGGTAGGTTATAGCAGTACTAATCATGGGCTAATTTATTTTCATGTTCTTTTTGTAATTGGGTGTAGTAATATACAGTAATAGAGGAACATGAAAATTAAAGCAATTAAAGTTTTCCTAACAGAATGAATTAGTGAGGCTTAATTTGAAAATAGATAAGGTATCAGTACGATGAAAATTACTTGTATTTTTTCTAAGTAAAAAAGGAAGATGCTGCTGTAGAAACGGGATACCTAGTTTGCTGCAAGTAAAGTGAGCGTGGGGGTGCAGAAGTCAAATGTCACTTCCTTATGCATTAAGCTAGTAGGAGTGTGTGAAATCTTGTATTTCAGTTTTGAAAGCAGTACAGTATTTGCTTCTACAGCTGAATAATTTTGAACCAGTATAATTTACATGACTATTAGAATTCTCACGTGTACAAATATCACTGATGCTTTAAAACTTACTTAGTAACTATTTCAGATATTATTTATCTAATAAATCACTTTCTGAAAAAATATGGCTCAATCAAAAGGAAGCAGAGAAAAGATCTATGAAAAGGTAAGTTGTGTTCTGAGAAAAATTCTCAGTTAGATGAGAAGAAATGAAAAGTCCTTCCAAAATAAGGTTATTTGCTGAGATATGCAACAGCATTACAATTATTAATTTTTATTTTCACTTTGTTTTTTATTTGCAGCCCACATAAGAAAACTGGAAAAGTCATGTATGTACATTTTAATGATTGAGTTGCATTTTTAAGTGTGGCGTCTGATTTTTGTTAAGTTACTGGACACAATTCTTTAAAAAAAAAAAATAGTTCCTTAGTTCCTTTTGTTTGGCTGTAAAAACTTATTTAAGAGACCTTTCAATGCAAAGAAATATTGTTGTGTCTAGTAATAGGCTTGTAATAAACTAGTTTGTTTTTTTGTAGTACAGTGGTCCTTCTGAAAAAAAAACCCTGTTAATTCTAGTTGACTTTCTTGCCTGAACTTTTCTGATTGCTTCTGTGTATTCTGTACCATTAATTACTGATGAATATTGTGTTGCTTTGAATCTTCCTTTGTGATGGAGAAGCTGACATGATTCTCAATATTTTATTTATCAGTAGCATTCATGTTTAAAACAATACCTTGAGTTTTACAGAAGATGGGGAGTAGTCCTCCTGTCAGAAGTTGCCTTCAGCTACTGGGATTTGAGAATATATATTTTTAAGAAAGCACTAACTTCTGTTTCCTATTTTCCTAGGGTGCGATCACCCACAAAATCAGCTAGCTACTCCTTAAAGTGGACATCAGAAGAAAAAGAACTATTTGAACAAGGACTGGTAAATTTGTTTATATATGTAATATTTTGAATAGAATTCATTAGATTATCTTAAATAACAAAATAATAATAAATATAAGCATGTTATATTTATCTGCTTCTGCTTTTGCACTTCGAATTTGTTAAAAATAATTGCCGTCTACTAAGAGTGTAATGATAAATCAGATTTATATTGATGAATCCCCCAAAACAGCTTGCTTTACCAGATTTTGTTCATGTGAGGCTGATTACAATTTGAGATCACAAAATATCTCAAATATACAGCTTTATGAATTGTACAATCATAATGCTGTAGTTAACTACAGCAAGTATTGTGTGTGCTTAAGGCAAATCAGCTAATAAAGTGAAATCCTTTAACTACTATTGTAAGGTCTTTAGAGGTTGTACAGTGCTGAATGTAACAGGGTTTCTTTTGCCAAGTACAAATTCCTTTCAGTAGGATTCCTTGGGTTAGCAGGCAGCATAATTTACAGTGTGCCTGAATTGGGTGAAGAAGATCCTCTAGTTTAAGAAGAATAGCAATAATTCTTACTGTTGGATGCAATTTTCTTCTTGGTATATAAGTATATATATAAGTTCTGAGGCTTTTTACCATGGGTTTGCTGTACTGTTTGTGCATTTGTAATGAGTAATTGTTCTTAAAACTCTTTTTGCACATAAAGTGCGATATCTGGAATCTTACAGGTTAGGTAACTTAAATGTGCTTTGTTGTACTAGGTGAAATTTGGCCGCCGGTGGACAAAAATTGCTAAGTTGATTGGAAGTCGTACTGTTCTACAAGTAAAGAGCTATGCTCGGCAGTATTTTAAGAACAAGGTAAACAGTATCTTTGTAGCTAGCAAAAAGACTCTTTGAAAAGTATGCTGTTGTACATGTAGCTTGATTTTTCAGGGTACTGCTGTTAAAGTATGTACTCTATTTATTCCCTTATTCAGAAAAGTGGAATATACTTATTTGCAGATTTAAATATGAAGTCAGACCTGATTTCAAATTCCTAGAATGACTTCAGTATTTTCATTGCTGGTATAACTAAACAATAAATGTAGTATAATTGTAATCTCTTATACTGTTGGCTGTTAGTCTGAAAATACGTGTTTTTGCACTCTACAGCCATTTCAGCTGTGCGTTGTAGTTTTAGCTTTAGCCTCATTTGAGACTTTGGGGGCATTTAAGAAGAAATTACTACTGTCTCAATTTTTTTTGAATGCAAATACATGTTAATTTACACTTGAGCTAGAAGTATACCTATAATGCTGTGTAAAAGTGAATTGCAATGGATTAAAATGTATTAAAAGGGTAAGATGAGGAAGAAACACTTCAGAATGTCTGGTGTTCAAGTAAAATAGTTCTGACTATTTGGGAGGCAGAGGGGATTGTTTTCTTTTTCCCTCCTAAAAGTATTTTATATTTTCCTAAGGCAAAAAATGGTGATTCTGAAAAGGAAGAGCAAAGTCAGTGTGGGAGCAGTCTTCCCATTGAAGATGGGATAAGGGTAGAAGCATGGTCATCTGGAAACTTGAGAGGCCGTGCAGACCCCAATCTGAATGCAGTGAAAATTGAAAAGCTGTCAGATGATGAAGAAGTAGACATAACTGATGACATGGATGAGCTACTTTCTCCTACCTTCCAGCAAGAAACTGGAAAATCTGAATTATCTGTTATTTCAAAAAGTCCAGTTGAAGAAACAAAAGGAATGGAACATGTTCTTTCTTCTGTTGGACACAGCTCTGCAATTTCTTTACCTAAAGAAGATCCTCAACATACCAAGCAAGATACAGTGGATGCATTAGTATTTCCAGGTGTTGCAGCAACATGTTCTCAGCACTTGAACAGTGATAAATCTGTGACCGTAGATTACCAGCAATACAATAATTTTACTGAGAAAGCTGAACAAGGCAGACTAGTAACATCTCATGGTACGAGACAAGTAACTGATCAGGAGCTTAATGAGGAACAGAGAGACCTGGCTGATAATGGATTGCTTTTTCCTTCTCCCTGCCAAGTGGATGAAGATCATCAAGAAGAAGCAGAAGAGCTTAAGCCACCTGATCAAGAAGTGGAGGTTGACAGAAGCATCATTCTGGAAGAAGAAAAGCAAGCTATTCCTGAATTTTTTGAAGGGCGCCAGGCCAAAACACCAGAGCGTTATTTGAAAATTAGGAATTATATTTTGGATCAATGGTAAGATGCATTAATTTCATTTACTGAAATAAGTGATTAAGATGACTCATGTCCTGCTTTGTTGTAGTTAAAGCGCTGCTTGGTACTAACAGCTTACTTCTGAAAAGAGTAAAATTAATTTTATGGTAGCATTATAAAGATTGCCAGTGAACAGCACTGATTATTAATGCTTCTTTTGCATCTACCCAGTTTTTTTCCTGGCATTCTGGAAGCTAAGCACTGAAAATACTTTGAAGCATTATGAAAATGAGTGTCCTATATCAGAACAAGCTGCATCCGTTTTGGTTATATTATTTTCTTCCAATTTTTTGTCATCCTATATCTAAGAATGCATATATGGTTTTAATAAATGGTTCCTCAAAATAACTGATTAAATTAATTCCGTAATGAGGTCTGGAGCATTGTAGTACTGCCTTTACAGAAGGGCAGCTAGAAGAAATAGTCTGTGCTAGAGCAAATAATGTTGACCAAAAAACACTTCAAATTAAGAATCAATTTGGAGTAGCGGTGTACACTTGAATATTTTGTATTCCATCTCCAAAGAACCTGTTTAAGGAACCTTTAGTGATTGTGGTAGCAGGCTCAATATACAGTTTGTTCTGTTAAGATTTTTGTTTTGTGTGCTTGTTGTGTTGGTTAGGTTGCTAGTAGAAAGAATTGCTGAGTTTAACTCTGTTCTCATTCAGTGGTCTTCTGTATTGACCGCTTTTTCTAGTTGCAAAGAAACTCTAAAATTCCATACCAGAGAAGTGTTGAACTGAAACAATTCAGTATCAGTTTAAAAGCAAGTAATAAGTGCATAGAGAGTGAAAACAGGCTTATTTATTATGCCAGGGAAGCCTATGATTATATGAGCTATTTGGACTAATCTAATGCAGTTGTTCTGATATCAGTTTACCAGTATCATGGTACTTCTAAGTAGTTCATTGCTTCCTGGCACTAGTGATGTTGAAGAATTTGTTTTAACACATGGAACATAAGTTTCACTCTGCATACGTATGAATGTGTATGAATAACCCTAAAATAAATTGTATGTGTGTTGTGAAATTTGTATTTTTGCTGTGATTGCTCTGCGTAATGGTGTGTAATGTGTGCATTGTGGAGGGAAAAAAACACTTCAGTGGCTTGTCTTAACCTCAGCTTAAGTCACACAATTCCTTCCTCCCCCTCCGTGATTTGTTTTATTATTTGACAATGTGCTATATTTTATTTTAGGGAGAGATGTAAACCCAAATACCTGAATAAGACTTCAGTACGTCCAGGCCTTAAGAACTGCGGTGATGTTAACTGCATTGGACGGATCCACACGTACTTGGAATTAATAGGAGCGATTAACTTTGGCTGTGGTAAAGATATTTTTATTGAAATCAATTCAGGGCTTAAATTCTAATAAATTCTCGCTGAACACATCTGTTGTTGACTGTCAGCTTTTTTTTAAAATGAATATTTTCATGTGAAGGGTAAACATTAAGATTAGTAGATGTATCTTCAAAAGAGAAGTTGTAAGTTCACTTCATTAAAGTGTAGATGACTGCACTTAATCAGAATTAAGCATCCATGTGGATAGCCTTCCAACTTCTCTGTACTCTTAATGTCTTAAATAGTAAATGTTGTTACATTTAAATTCTGTAGAAGAGAATCTTTGTTTGGACTGTATTTAGTATAGTTGTGTTCCAGCCTATATGGCTGCAGCCTATTTTGGTGTTAATGTTGAAGGCCTGCTTAATGTTAGGGTATACTGCTCACACAGAAGGATACACATTAATCCTTACTAGGGAAGGACCTTCTGAGCAGATTGTCTCTTCATGACCTTTGAAAATCTAGAGGAGTTTGTAACCTGCTTATAGGGTTATGGATTTTTGGATTTACACAAGACATTTTCTTTTTTTTTTCTCCCCCCCCCCCTTTCTTTTTTTTATTCCCCCCCCCCCGCCCCCCCATGTTTACCACACACCAGCAGATGGGGTATTTTTTGTTTTGTGCTTTTCTGTGTGTCCAGTGTTGGATTTTCTTTTTTCCTGATACCTGCTGTATCTGAAATTCTGCCCTCCCTCCATGTAAGACGGAATTCAAGTTACTGTTTCTTTCCCATACTGAATTTTAACTGTTTCCTAAATAAAAAGCAATGTCTTCATCCTTGGGGCTAGTTTTTACAAGATTCAAATGTTAAAATTAGGTGACATGTTAAAAGTATATATGCACCTATAAGTTACTGTTGGTTTAGTCTCTCTGGATTGATTTTGGTCCAAAGCTGAATGACAGTCACCTAGGAGAGGAGGAATGGCCTGCAAATACATTTTGTCTGAAATAAATTTAACAATAAGGAAGGAGGTTTTCCTGTCTTAAAAATGCTGTGGTAGTGGGAGCGCTGTATAATCAGTTAGTAATATGACCATCAAGAGATGTCTTTTCACTGTGGCTTTATTTTGTTGTTGCTTTTTTTCTTTATGGTATTTGTCATTACCGCTTATCTCTGTCATTCTTGGCTCTGTACCAGAAATCAGTGGCTTCATACTTTACCGAAGTACCGTGTATCTCTCTTCTGTATCCTGTAGAACAGGCTGTCTATAACCGACCCCAACCAGCTGATAAAACACGGTCCAAAGAAGGCAAGGACACAGTGGAAGCGTACCAGCTTGCTCAGCGCTTGCAGTCCATGGTACGTTTTGGTCAGGGAGGCGGGGGCAGCAAAAAACATTCAGAATGGAGAAGGTCTTCTCAATCTTCATGTTCAAGCTAGGGCATCTCAGGCAATTTCTCCTCTCATTCAGTTTGCAGTTTCATTAGAACGCCCTGTAATTTGAGCATCAGTCTAAGTACATGTTCTGCTGTCTGACAGGTGTCTGCCCTAACTTCTGCTATCTTACATACTTGATTTCTGTACAGGTACTTAACTATGATTGTGTTTCAGTCTTTTCCCTGCAGCCCCAACCCCTTCCTACCCACCTCTCCATAATTTATGACGCATAAAATAGTGGAGCATGTTGGTAGTATGTAATTAAGTTGCTTGCATTTTAACTGTTAAATATACTAGGTATAAGATATGACTTACTGAGAGCCTTATTTCCACCATTAGTTGTGACGCATTTATAACTACATGAATTACCAAGGCTTGCCAGATGTAATTTTCATACTCATATTTAGTGTAGCATTTTTAGTACTTCATAGCAAAATACATCTGTTGATGAGAGGAAAACTAAGTCAATCCCACTAAGAAAAAAGAAAATTGAAATATAAAGAACTAGCATATACTAGATGCAAACATTGGTTTTATAGCTTTTTGTATCGTCTGAGCTATAATTCAGAGCTGGATAATAATGCACTATTGCTGTCAGAGATGTTGATGATCCATGGAGCATCAACCAGGTGTTATGCTTTACACCCTTAAAAACTGAAAACTTCACTGATGATATTTTGTGACAGACTGTGAACTACATAATTCTACAGAACTGCAGGGTGTTCTTTCTTTTCTGGAAATATGTCATAGTGTCAGTAACGTTCACGTGGCAACCTTTTGGACAATGTTCTTATGGCTGATTAAATGAAGTAAATGCAGTTTTTCAGGAGTATGATCCTTGACTCATGTTGATTTGCTTGCTGCAGCGTACAAGACGACGGCGAGTGCGAGACCCTTGGGGAAACTGGTGTGATGCAAAGGATTTGGAAGGACAGACATTTGAGGTAACCTTCTGTGTTTTAAACTTTTCTTACAGAATTAATTCTTGCTAATTGCTAGCAGGTGGTGTTGCATCAAATATACAAGGAAAACAGTTGTGTAATAGGTACTTAACCTCTCTTTGTGGAAGCAATAATTTGAAAATAATGTAGCAGCTGTTACATCTTTATGCTGCTGATAAATACAGCTGTACTTTGGTGTTTACAAAGGTGTTCATGTTGTGAGCATGTATGGCCCTATGCTGTTTTATGCCTGTAAAGTTCTTTGCCTTGTCTTGTAGGAGATTTCATGACCCTTTGTTTTCAGTTAACAGCCTTACTAAAGCTAACAGTAGGGGATAGGAGAATAAGATTTAAATTTTATTTGTTCAGTACTATATGGTTTCTTTGTGTTTACAATGCAGGTGATACAAGTTCCTAATATTAATTCCGCTACTAGCAATAGCCCCAGAAATACTGTGGTTTATGAAGTACTTAGAAAAATTCATACAAGTTTAAATATTTTATAGAAGACTTGGAAAGAAAATATCCATTTGTCCATTTCTACAATTTCAAATTATACAAAAAGTGAAGAGCCGTTATAGAAAACCACTTAAATTTGCAACCTTCAGTATTAAGTATCTGTAACAATTACTTCCATAATGTGATAATGCCATACCTATTTTTGAGTAACTGTGGTTAATAATTCTAACACTTTCTGCAAAATACATATTTGGATGCAAATGAAAGTTTGAAAACACTCATTCTTAAAGAGGTGTCATGATAACTTCTGGCCATGGATTGTAATGGCAGATTTTCTGCTCAGTTACCACACTTGCATTTATGCATGGTTTGCGATATGGGCTGTGATTTTACTGAATTTGATTGACTTGGGGAATGTAAGACTTTTTTCATCAGGCATCTTATGGACTAGATCTCTGATTGTCATTACCTTCACACTGCTTGATTCTGCTAGGGCTATTGCCCTCTATCTTGAGTAGTACTGTAACACACAAAAATTGATAGCGTATCAAGAGGACACTGATGTCAAGAACTATTCTGGGCTGGTTTTGGAATCCCTACTGAAGGAGCACTTAAGACATTAAGACTTTTTTTTTTTAATTATTATTTTTTAAATTTCTTTAGCATCTGTCTGCTGAAGAATTAGCAAGAAGAAGAGAGGAAGAAAAACTGAAACCTGCAAAATCTTCTAAAGGTTCAAGACAAATAAAAAGGTATTGTTTGAAGTACATCATGTTCAAACATAGATCTTCTAGAAATGAAAGAAATGTCTTGGGTAGTGTCAGGCTGGAGGCTGCAAATCATTAATATGTATTATGGTCTGAAATAACATGTATACATTTCAAATGTTTCGTATTGAAATTCACGAGAGTGGGTAGTGAAGTTTCTATATTTGCTGGAAGTCATCCTAGTGTGGGATGAGAAAATCCAGTAAAGAAAACAAGGTTATTCCTCTGCCAAGGGACAGAGGGAAACTTGAAAAGTTTCCTGACTGTCCTACATCTTTAGAGAAATTTTCTTTCATTTTATAGTTCCTTTGATCCCTTTCAGCTGATACCGTGCTGTTTATTCACTGAAGAAAAACAGGTATGTACCTATGAGTGAATAATCAAGAATGCTTTATTACTTAGGTTACTTTTCTTATATTCATTATTGCGTTTATCATTTCAGGAACCTTTTCAGGTGAAAGTGTCTTCTGAAGCACTTTTAATAATGGATTTGGTGAGGATTAAGTTTTATCTTTCAAAAAGCTATGATGTATATGTTGTGGTTTTTTGGTTTGGTTGGTTTTTTAATGGACAACTTAAGAAGAATGAGAAATACAGTACTTATGTTAACTTCTTTCCATTCAGACCTTGACGTGAGAATCTAGTATTAAATAAAGCCTCTAAAGATTGATGGGTTTTTTACGTTGTGCTTGGTTTTTCTAGAAGGTAAATGGTTGTACACTAAAAAGAGCATTCCTACTTACTACTCTCAGTCATACTTTAAATAGAATTTTTTAAAGCTACTTTATAATATAGACTGCCGTTTTGCAATCTTACAGGTTCATTTTCTACTAGTCTGGGAAATTATTGTGTGTTTATAAAGCAGTGTGTGGGTTTTTAATAACAACAGGTTGTACCAAAATTGGTGCAGTTGGTTCAGCACTGCACAGCATTGCACAGGCTTCAGTTTTTGAAGTTAGCGTTGCTTCATGTATGGAAGTGTTATACAAATGCACTGCAAACGTGCATGTATATAATAAGCAAACATAATCTTTTCTGTTTGCTTCAAATTGAAACATTGGGTATTTGAGAATCTTTAGCTGTCCTAAGTTTTCCTTCTAAATGTCATTGAGAAGTTAGTGACTTGTAGCTGTGAAACCAATGTATTCTGTTTTGTGCAGATCAAAACTAGGAGAAATTATACAACTTGAACCTTTTAATAATTGTTTAATATCATTTTAGCACTCTCATGTGTCTATGGCAGAAGTAATAGGGCTGCTAGGTGGAAGATACTCTGAAGCTGATAAAATTGTAGAAGTAAGTGTTTGTCTTTTTACATTTTCTCTAAAATATTAAACCTTATGATAATATATATAATTTGAATAGTTACATGTTACTTCTGAAGGGCGACTACTTAAATATATTTAAGTTGAAGTTATTTACTGTAGTCTTGAAATGTTAAGAGTTATGCTTATGTTCGAGTGTTGGCCCGTCAACTCTGTTATGAGGAAGATCTGGTATATGACTCTTAAAATTCTTTAAATTTTATTTAACTGATGGAGACTTCTTGCATTTATCCATCTGGAGACTTTTTTAACAGGTTTGCGCAGCAGAGCCATGCAATAGTCTCAGTACAGGACTGCAGTGTGAGATGGATCCAGTATCTCAAACGCAGGCCTCGGAAACGCTGGCTGCCAGAGGATACAGTGTTATTGGATGGTACCATTCCCACCCAGCCTTTGACCCCAACCCCTCAATACGAGATATTGACACTCAAGCTAAATACCAGGTACTTGCTGGTCTGTACATTAAAAATAAATAGCAAAAAAACCCAACAACCCTAAAGCCTCCCTGATGTTTACAGTGTTAATGCACACTATTGCTCTAATGCATCTTAAAATAAGTTCCTTTCATAAATTTCCATAAATTCTTTTTTTTTTTTTTTAATTTCAGAATGCTGTTGTGAAAAAGGTTGTATTTCTTCTATGTCAGTTTTTTTGTGTGTGTTTGGTTTTTTTAGAGTTACTTCTCCAGGGGTGGTGCCATGTTCATTGGGATGATTATAAGTCCTTACAACCGAAATAATCCTCTTCCATATTCTCAGATTACTTGTCTAGTCATTAGTGATGAGATCAGTTCTGATGGTTCCTACCGTAAGTACTGATATTTTATCCATTGTCGTAATTTTTCTTTTCCTTTTGGATACTAAGGGGAAAAATGTTGTCTGTTCTTGAACTTAACAAATAGGTATTTATATATTTATGTTAGTAACTTGTGCTGTACAAATGCCGGAATTTCACTTAAAGAGGAATTCTGCAAGTAGTCCATGCTGTCATGACAAGAATATACAGGTATAAATAGAAGATTGTTTTCTCTGTATTAGTATTTCCCACAATCCGTGAAAGAAATTAAAAGGGTTGGGGAGAAGGGTCACTGTTATTTATATACAGTATCCATATGAATAGCTGAGAAACTACTTCGCATGTATTACTTTGCTGCATTACAAAATTCTGAACAGATCCTCTGATTGAGAAGACAGAAGTATGATAGCAAACAATTGGCTGTTAGAGCGGCCAAAAATCCTTATTTGAGTGACTTAGCTTTCAGAAGGTCAAAGGATCAAACTTGCCAGCTGTCCAGGAAAACACAAGATATGAAAGATGAAATGCTGTGCTGGCATGAATCCCAACCTAAGAGAACATATTCTTGATTAAAAATGTCATTGGCATTTCATGAAAATGGGATGTTTTCCTTTCTTGAATAGTTAAGAACATATATAAAATTTATGGTATTTCAAGTGATGATCAGATCTTCTGCTTGTTCCCTGACATTAATTTGAGGAAAATTCCCATGATAACAGTATATGGTTATGGTAGCTGCCTCTTCTCTCCCCTCCTCCCTCCCCCCATTTTTGCATCCAAACTCTGAGGTTTCCAGTTTTCTTGGCAAGGCAATAGCAGCAGCCATGTGACCCGACAGTTCCCCCTCTGTTATTTCCTGTGGAAGTAAGCAAGGGAGACCATCTGCCTGCAGACTTGCTTCATAGTCCTAGGGGATGTGAAGTGGTGGCCACATCTGTGCAATAATTCCTGTTTACCATACTGACAGTACCGTAATTTTATCCTCATTTCCCATGCATCCCACCCTTGTGGTGTGGAGTTAAAATACTTAGAAACTTTATCTGCCCTTAGAAGTAGGCTTTGGTCGCATGCGTTTTCTGTCTGAGAGGACTTCATATTTATGTTTATCTCCTGAAATCAACTTTTTACAAAAGAGTGTCTCCTCTAGCTCTTTGGAAAAGTTATACTGTGGCAGTAGAGCTATAGTACTGAGCAAATGAATACAAATTAGTATTTCATATGAGCCATAAATATTTCTACAGATTAATTTTACTCTTGGAAAGCGTTCTGCGCTGAACACTTCTCACATTTGAGATATGTTCAAATAGCAAATTATATTTATTGCTTTCTTTTCACTTACTCTGAGGTATAGTTGGAAAGCATGCTTTTCACCTCATTAAATTCTTATGATCTTGGAAAGGCACCTTTTTTTTTTTTAATGACCTACTGAAATTTACAGTCTCTTCCCTTCTCCCTGATTTTTGGTAACTGAATTGTGTTCTGCAAGTAATTTTCTGGTGTTCCTTTAGAATACTTTCTAAATTCTTCTTCCCCCACCTGCAATAAACTAGAAGAATTTCTTCCTTTAGGAACAGAATTCCTCTGAAATCTAGAACAATAGTCAGCCACTTCAGCAGCCAGTTCATACATGAAAAACAAAACCTTTTTTAATAACCACATAGAGAGACTACAAAAGTGTAATTGGTACTGGGTTATAAAAACTCAATTTATTTTGCCGTTTTCCTGTTATGTTGTAGATGTCTGTGTGCTTCCTTATGGCATGAGGAATTGGTGAGGGCAGGGAGGAGAACAGGTTTGTTCCCTACTCCTACCAAAATTAAATTTGGAATCCAAAATATGTCATACTTTTACTTTAACCTCCTTAACGTTGGCAAGTAACAGGACTGCAAGCTTCTGCAGTCAGTAATAAACTTTGAACAGTTACGGCAAAGGAAGGGATTGTACCTAAAACTAAAAAAAAAAGGGGTGGGGGGAAAAAGGTGAGTGTACTAGAAGCACTGAATAGTCATGTTCAATTAATTACAGGCCTGCCCTACAAATTTGAAGTACACCAGATGTTGGAGGAACCTCAGTGGGAATTAATATTTGAAAAAACAAGATGGATAATTGAAAAATACAGATTCTGCCATAGGTATATGTCTACTTATATTATAAAGAATAGCCAGTTTAGAATTTTTGCATGTTTATTACTGATGTTTCAGTAAAGACACGTGTCTGCTTTCTACAGCACTATTGGTTTTTTTTCTTTCCACAGCAGTGTCCCCATGAATAAAATTTTTCATAGAGATTCTGACTTGACTTGTTTGCAGAAAGTAAGTTTTCATCTTTTAATTTTTAGCTTTAATTTTAAATGTTTTTTTTAATACAAATCTGGTTTGTATCATCAGAAGTCACCTGAGGTTACATTTTTACAAATCAGAGATGTAAACTAATCAGAATAAATGACTTTTATAGTGCAGCTTATTAACTTACAAACACAGTGAAAATAACAATGTTCATTGGAGAGAATTGGGGACAATGGTTACATGCAGATACCAAGTTTTAACGTCAGTTTGGAGAAGAAAGAATGTCAAATTAATCATGTCTCTTCTCAGCATGTTGTATACTTTCAGTGTCGAGAACTGCATGTGTTTCAAGAGAACATTGGACTGCCTAGTCCTTTGTTCAATCAGTAAAGTAGTGCTGCGCCATGTTTGGCATGCATAAGTGGGAACTTTAATTTTCTCGTCAGTGTAGTCATTGCTATGAAGTGCTAAATAACTGCAGCTGTAACATTAATTGCACAAACAAGACAGAAAGTCTGCCTGAAGCAAAAGACATAAACAGAAAACATACACAGTGATTACCCACATCTAATTTTTTTTTTTCTCCTCTCAACATGACTTTGCTTATAAACAGCTTAAATCTAAAACTGAGTTGGTGGAATACTCGTGAATGCTGTGTAACTCGTTTTAAAGAATTAGTTTTAAATCACCCATGTGTTCCTGTGTGACTTCCTTTCCAAAATTTATATTGTACAGTTGAACACTTTCTGTAGTGTTAATCCTAAATAAATAAAAATCCCTTTGGAATACTTATCAGCTAGAAGGGGAAAAAATAAACTCAGGAAAAATGACAATTTTAAAAAATCTCCTTTTCTTTTGACTAGCTTTTGGAGTGCATGAGGAAGACCTTGGGCAAGGTAACAAACTGCTTCGTTGCTGAAGAGTTCTTGACTCAGATAGAAAACTTATTCCTTTCCACATACAAGAGTGAGAAAAAGAGTAATGCCGAAGAAAATGAGAATGAATGTTCAAATGAACTGCCAGTGTGATGGCTTTAACAAAACAAAATTATGGAATTTTGATTCTTTTTTTTTTTTTTTTTCATTTTCTTCCCCTCCTCCCTATTATGTCAACTCTTTCAGAATTATTATCCATTTTAATAGTAACTGTTATAGAATCCAGTGTCATCTTACTGTTACGGTTTAAACATAGTTTGAAAAACTCTTAATGTGTGTGACCTGACTACATGAGGAACACTTAATACTAACATTTTGTAAAAAAACAAGTGCCACAGAATTAACTGATTGACCAACAGTCTGCCATTTGGGAAGAAGGACAACCTAGCAAGAATACTGTGCTTCAGTCTTCAAGGAGAGCTTCAAGTCTTTCAGTTTGGGAATTTTCTCTTGTTTTTTATCTACAGGTACACATCTAACTCAGAATGAATTTGTTCCTTAATTCTTCAGAGATTGTAAGTTTGGATGAATTCACAGAAGAGAAACTTACAACTTAACTGAAATGAAAATTTTGTAGCTCACTGATTTCAAACTTTCCTTGTATCCTGTCTGAAGTTTTATTCAGTTGTGGTTTAACACATCATTTAATTTCCCCCTCCTCCCCGCCCCCCCTTGATCCTTACGGTCAAGTAGTTTTTTGGCATGTTCTTTGCCATCTTGCTTCTATATTTGGGGAGGAAGAGCTGGCAAGTTTTCATGACTTCAGTAGTAGTTGTGCTTGTTTCCAGTGGAAATGGTAACTCCTGTCTTATTACAGGTTGCGATCTTTCTCATCTTCCATTCTATGGGGAGATACGGTGTTCTGCCAGATCGTTGTGATTTGTCCACTTCTAATTGCCACTGTTTCCTGTGGAAACAAGAGCTCTTGACTGATGACAAACTTAGTGCAACAAGCAGAAAAGTATTTGTCTTTCTAAAGAAAAAAACCCCACCAACTTTTATATTCAGAGTCTTCTCTTTAATGTGCAGTCAATAAGAACACATACTCTTTTGTATCAGCACTTCAATTATAATTTCATACAAGTCTATATTAAGATGAATTAGTCATAAACAGATTGATCTTGATTGAGAAGTTTCTTGATTGCAACTTGGAAATGTTTCATGAGCTGTATCACTGTGAATCTTTATAGAAAAAATGTGCTTTAAATTTTGCTTTCTAAATCATGAGGAAACTTGACTTGTATACAGTTATTACTATTTACACAGATTTATCTTGGGCAAAGTTTCTCAGGTCTAAAATATATTTGAAAACATGAAGCAAGCAAGGCCTTGAGTTTATATCTAGAGGGGTGACAATGGACTCAACTCTTATTTTAAAAAAATCTATTTGTGTGTATATATCTAGTTCTACATAACATAAATGGAATTTAAGATTTTATACGTTTACATTTTTAACTTAAGCTTTTCATTTGTGTAAAGAGTTTGAAAAGCTTTAAAATTGTAGAGTTGCATCCCAAGGAGGGAACTCCTTTATAGGAAGTTAAAATTACTTTTTTACCATGCCTCATAAAATGTTAGTCTCTTCTGTTGCTAAGTGGAATGTGCAGAGCCTGATCATATGAAAATGTGAGCCCTTGATACTCAGCGGTTCTCCCAATGCAGGTTCAAGAGCTATGGACTTAAAAATATTGGTGAATGTTCTGTGCTCTCTTCTATGTTCAGATCTGCTGGTGTGCAGCTTTAGATCCCACTACTATGTATAATTTATAAACTTGGTGTATCCATCTATATAAGGCATGTTACTCAGTCTGCATATATTCTAAAATGTCATCTTTGGGACTTCCTAATTAAAAATACTGCATGGCTTTCTGTATTTCTAGTTCAAACTACACTCTTGGTGAGAAAGCATTCCTTCCCTACTTAGTTGTGGCGTGGTCTGCAGTGTAAGGTATTCTTTTGCAGTTTTGCATAGGTTACTCTAGAAAAATTGGATAGTATAAATGTATGTACTAAAAGCTGTAATTAGTTCTGATTTGTAGGAGGAGAATCTTGAACTTCTCGTGTAACAGCAATATGAAGCAGATAATGTTCGTTGTCCACATACAGTCTATTTCCAACCGTTTAAGGTATTACCCAAGTAGTGGTAACAAGGTGCTGGCTGCGTCTCTGTTTAATGATTAAAATGAGTTAAAGTAATACAGTTGTATTAATTGGATTTAACAGTCATGTTACATCAGAAAAGTTTTGAGTAAAACACAGTTTTGAAGCAGTCTGTCTCTTGAGAAGAGGACATGGTGCAGTATTGAGACTTTGATACGCAGACAAAGACTCCAGATTTACTAAGAGTTCATTAGCAGGGTGCTGTGGGAGGAAATAGAACTGCTAGTACCATCGTAACCCAGTATTATCACACAATATTGTATGTGAATTGGAAATACCGCATTTGTGATGCTAAATAATAATTTGGTTGGTGGGAGCCATAGTAAGTAACTAACCCACTTTTCATAATTTATTTTGACTGTGTGGTTAATAATGAGAGTTTGGAAGTTGCATGCTTCTAAGAGGATAAAAATCTATTTACTAATACTACCAGTTCTGCTACCAAACACATATAAGGGATTAAATTTTTTTATTGCAAAGCTCTTTATTTTTTTTTTCCCATCCAGCAATTCTTTTTATGCTAGCTTTGTTTTAGTGTACCTGTTGCAGACTAACATGCTATTTATTTATGTAAGACCAGCTGTTATGCCTTGCCAAGTTGTTGCTCAGGAGATGGGAAATGGTTGAGTAGCAAGTAGAATGATACAGTTTAAACTGGAAGAGTCAACAGTTTAAAACAACCAACCAACCAACTCCCTAACCCCGTAAGATGTGACTTCTGGCAGATATCCTTTATGGGCATTTGTTGGCTGAGTCAAGTTTTGCTATCCCAGTTATCAGCGGTGCTTCTTCACAGGGATATATGCCTTGTGTTCCAGGGGAGGGGAATGCCCATTTTTTTTTTTTTTAAATAAGTAACTTTCCAAGAACAGTTCAGTTGAGGAAGACAAACAAAACCCAAGAACAAACAAACCAAGAAAACCAAACCCCAAACCAGCCAAACAAAAAAAGTTAACGCTGTTGCCATTGATATCAAGTACTTTTTTTCCTTTTGCTTGCTACTTTGATATTCCTGACTGATGGTATACAAGAGTCTACTAATAAAGACTGTATATGCAGTACCTTGAAAGATGTGTTCCGTGTTTGTAACAGCTTCTTGTCTCTTGACCATCGGATCTGGTATTTCTTTATTCCAAGTAAGCAACAATAACAAAGTGATTCAATGAAGTTTAATACCACTAGAGGGAGCTTTGTCACAGCTGATACAAAAAAGGTTTTGAACTAAGTGCAAAACTGTTCTTACCAGTGCATATAAACTTCCGGCTAAAAGTGATTAAATTTTATGGGCCATAGTTGTGTACCTTGGTATAGATTTGTTTCTTTCATTTGTTATTACACACCCTCTGCATTAGTCTCCTTCAGAAAATTATCCAGTGGTACTTTGTGGCAGGGATGCCAGGATGGTAGATCAGTATTTTCCACACTTTTCACAGAGAATCCTGGCTGTAGATCACTAAAGTAATGCAGTGGGTTTGTTTTCATGGGCAACTCCAGCGAATTCTGAAGGTGATCATCAGCTTAACCTTTCAAACAATATTCATTACCCAGATTTCATTTGAGTGTGTTGGTTCTAGCTCTATTTCTGCCAGCAGCAGGAGCCAGATTAACTCTTTCCTGCTGCGCTAGCAGAGAATGTGGTCTGCTGGGCATTACTGAGCTACGAGGACATCGTGTTGTGTAGGGGAAAGATTGGCCGTGCAGGTGGAAAGCGAGCCGCGTGGAGGTGTACAGTGCGCCTCGGAAGGCGTGGGGAGGCAGGGCAGGGCACCCCGGCGTCTGCGAGGGGAAGGAAACGTGCTGTGCTCTTGCTGTGGACCCCGTTGAGGGGGCTCAGGGCGTCGGGATGCACGCAGGGTGACTTCATCCGGCCCTGGCGCGTGGGAAGTAGCTGGTTGTTAACATCCCAGTGAACATTGTAATCATATTTGATGCTGAACAAAGTATTTAATGGCCTAGATAAAAGCATTCTGGTTGTTTAATTGGAAATGTCTTGCTGTTTTACATAGACCTAGTGCCCTACTTTTATGAGCTTTAGAATTGTGCCGAGAAACTGTTTCCATGGAAGCAGAGATCACTAAAGAAATAATGCACTCCCCATTTCCTACAGGATTATTCCTTTTAGAGGCTGCTGTTCTAAATAATTAACTCTTGTAGTGCCATTACAGCTTAGCATGGATTAAAGGAAATACCACTTTGTATTTTTTTAGTGTCATAGAGACATTACATGTATATATTTTTATATACATATCTATAGACATGTATATAGATATTTGGAAGGACTTTTGTCTTTAAAATAAGTCTGTTCTCCCCTTATTTACAGAGGGGGAAATCCACCAGTACAAAAAAGGTCAATGGAAAAGTGCACTTTTATTTTGGCAATTTATGCAGCTGTCAGGGAAACTTAAGATTATTCCTTCTTTGCCCTTCTCTTGCCACTGTTCTACACTTTTTGCTTGGTGATGGGTATATTTGAAAACCATCGTCATGCTTCTGGCCACCTTTCAGGGAAGAGACAATGTACTTTTTAATTAAGGTAACAGTGATGAGAATCTTCCACCAGTAGGGAAAACAGACTATCTCGTTCAGTTACCTATGGTTTTTCTTCCATGTGTTACTTTTGCCAAACCAGTTAATTTTTCTCTACTTCACTGTAGGTGTCTGTAAAAAGGGGAAACTGCCAAATGATAATATGAGGCTGAGACCAAACACAAATGCCTGTAAACATCATACAAGGAAACTACTGTTTACCAAAAAGTCTGGTTACTGCCCACCCATATGGTGCTTTCTAAGCACAAGGGCAGCACAGCTCTCAGCCATATAGAAATTGCCATCGCTTCACTGAAGCTGGCTGTGAGTTGTAAGTTTACAGCAGTTGAGGCTCTGTCCTCCAGAGAGAAGAAAAACAAAACCTACTCCCTCTAAAGTCCATAATGTGAAATGAAATAAAGACAAGATATGAGCATGTGGGTGACAGTTAAATGGATTTTGACTTCGAAGGAGGGATGTGAAATTTAAAAAAAAACTTTACTATAGTTAAATGAATGACTTAGAAATTAAAAATGGGAAAAGAGTTACTAAACTATTATCAAAGAACAGTCAATATGACAACTTGAAATACCTAGCAATTTTTATAATAATTTTAACTGTACATCTCTTATTTTCTAAGAAAGGTAACTACTGTTATTTTTGTCTGAAGGAAGGGGAAAAGGAGAGGTGTGGTAATGTGCTTTAAAGGAGCCAGGAATAATTTGAAGAACTTGCCTCATCTTTGCTCCCTCAAGTAGTGTGTGTTTCTATGGCTTATTTAGAAATGGCTCTAGCTGCAAGGTTCAACTCCACATTGTGCCATTTTCTAGTGGTAGAGGGTATTTACAGCTGGAGCTCTCATTTTAAACATTGTCGTGGTAGCCCCTGTCAGCAACCAAGCACCACGCAGATGCTCGCTCACCACCCCAGCCCCCCACCCCCAGTGGGATGGGGGAGAGAACTGGAAGGGCAAAAGTAAGAAAACTCATGGGTTGAGATAAGAGCAGTTTAATAATTGAAATAAAAAAATAATAATAGTAATAAAAATTGTAATGAAAAGGAGAACAAGAAGAGAGAGAAACAAAACCCAGGGAAAAAAAAACAAGTGATGCAACTGCTCGCCACCCGCTGACTGATGCCCAGTCAGTCCCCGAGCAGCACTTGCTGTCCCCCTGGCCAACTCCCCCAGTTTCTATACTGAGCTTGACATCATATGGTATGGAATAGCCCTTTGGTCAGTTTGGATCAACTATCCTGGCTGTGCCCCCTCCCAGTTTCTTGTGCACCTGGCAGAGCATGGGAAGCTTGACCGCAAGGCAATGTGCAAGTTGCATGGATGGGAGAATGGCATATAGATCGTTCTTTGGTCACTACTGTTCCCAAAATAATGATTTGTGAAGTGTCTGACAGTGTTTGACAAATCGGATGAATGGAACTTGCTTAATGCAAACTGGAAAATATCTTTCAGCTGCTGCCGAAACACATGGAAACGGTAACTCATGCTCTGTAGATCGTTAGGACACTTGGGAGCTACTGGAGCGTACTGCAAAAGTTCACAGTGAAAAATTTCTTCAGAAATGGCTAACAACTTTGTAAGGGTAATGCAAGCATGAAAATCATCATTCCTAGTACTGCCGTGGGATGAGTATGTGCCAAAGGAAAGCGGGGAGAGAAGATTTCCGTGCTGGAAGATGAGACTCTGCTCTGTAAATAGGAGAGCAGCCATCAAACTGATGAACAGTTGTTTCTCCTGAATTGGCAGCTACTCCAGGCAGCATACATAAAACTCCGAAAGACTTTATTTTATAAATATATGAAAGTAGAAAGGAGGAAGTCCGTAACTGATAAGACTCTAGACAGTGGAATGATACAAAGCTGGGTGATGGAAGATATAGGAAAAACCATGATGGAAGAGGAGGAGTAGGATTTCTTCTAACCAAAATGGGAGAAATTCCTTAAATGTGCATTTACATAGCCCGTAAAAAGTTTAAAGAAGGGGAAGGGCAAGCTGATTGTGCTTTAATCCGTGAAGGAAGCCCAAGGTAGAAGCTATGCTTCACGTTGGCTTTTGTCTCCTGCTGGTTGCTTCCTCATCAAGTAAGAGGGATGGCAAGCATCTGGAGGCAGGCATTGGTGCCACTCCCCGAGAAGTAATAGATGAAAGTGCAGCTTATTGAATTCTCTAGGATTTGGGTACGAGATGCCAGTTGTTTTGGAAGGAGAACTTGTTTGGTGGGTCTGATTTGAATCTTGATAAAGGGAGCAGCACGCCAGCATGTACAAATGAGTAGTCTCCATGAATGGATTCAAGCTTCAGATACTGCCTGCTATCACTCAGGACTTTATCCATGCTTTTCATCTGCAATATGGAGCCTCTGTTCGGGTTTTTGATGGGTTTGATTCTGGTGGTAGCTTCATCAGCGCAGAACAACTGTACCTGTGCGACCAACAAGGTGATGGTATGTGCCCAGGACGCATCTGGGAACTGCACCTGCACGCTGGTGGGTTCAAATCACAAGGTAGACTGTTCCACACTGACTTCAAAATGCTTGCTGATGAAGGCAGAAACGATCCCCCTGAAGGAGAAGCGCTTCTGGGGCCATCCCTGTGGGCTGTTAGATAGATGGCATTTACAATCCAGACTGCGAGGACAGTGGCATCTTCAGAGCCAGGCAGTGCCATCAAACTGATACTTGCTGGTGTGTGAACACCGCCGGAGTAAGAAGAACCATAAAGGGTGACAAAAGCCTGAGGTGTGGTGAACTGGTTAGTACAAACTGGATCTACACTGAAACTGAAGCACAAAAAGTCCAGTGCCTTCAATGTTCCAAACATAGCAAATGCCCTGAAACACCTGCCTGAGAGCTGAACAAACTGTACCCCAAGTACATCACAGCTGTTAAGTATGATTCCCCTCTTATCCAAATCTGCCTGAATCAGAACGACTCAGAGAAATCTAGGTGTGACTGTATTTCATTCACTGTCTCTGTCAATGGAGGCGCTCGGGATATTGAAAAAATGAGGATTTACTATGTTGATGAAGAGCCACCAGAGTTTTGCATGAGTCAACTGGCTGCTGGCATTAGTGCTGTGGTGACACTGGTGATACTGACTGCTGGCCTCAGCATCACTGTGCTGGTTATTCTGAGGTGGCTGTGGATAAGAAAATATACGAAAGTTCAGAGTAAAAAATGAGTGAAATATGAGCACCAAAGTTACAGCTGCCCTGATCTGAAAAAAGAAAGGCACAAAATATAAATAGCAAACAGACTCTGTGTACGTGGATGGATTTGGAGAGTTTTCTTCCTTTTTAGAGGAATTTATACAGTGATTGTTCTAAATTATTCTAGTTTAGTAGGAATGATTTTTGGGTGTAAACTGATTTGGGAGTCAGCTACCTAAATATTTTAAATGAGTCCCAATTTAGAGGCTAAGAAAACTGTTACAGCTGTCTATTTAGCATAACATAGAATGCTTTTACTAGTTTCACAGTACTGCAGGCCTGGTTCAGCTTGCTTAAATACTCTTTGAGTGGTTCTTGGTGTATCTACTTATTGAAGTTCAAATACTTGCCTTGGCATAATTGCATTATATAGCTGCTTTTCTGTTAGTAAAGAATTCTTTTTAAAATGTGGTTTGTTTTTTTTTTTAAAGTTGCTGGAAGCTTTTTTATCAAGAAATAATTTCATAAATATTACTAAATAACCAAATAAGGTTTTGATAAGATACTCTTCAGCACCAGTCATATAGAGTCATTTGTTTGGAAACATTCCTGTGGTTGCTTCCAGGTGCAGAGCTCCCAAGTTTCCGAGTTTGTATTCAGGCGGTGCAGTGAGCTATTCCCACTTGTGCTCTTTAACAAGGGCCTGACACTCCTAGTCAGCAAAGATCCCTTGATCCCAATGCAAGTGTAAGTTAACCTTGGTGTTCTGCCCAAATTCAAACTCTGGTAATAGCTTTCTGTCTACCTAAATTCCCCTTGCAATTTTAATGGGAGGAGATATTTTTCAGTGTTGTACAGCTTCACAGAAATACTACACAATGCTTCAGGACAGCTGAAAAAGAGCTTTATTCTAGTAGAGCTGCAGGGGGAATTTAAGAGCAGAGTGTAATTACTGAAGTTGGAATTTGGCCAAGACCCTGGAACTGGACTTCTTTGCTACCTACTCATCTGCTACATTCCTTGCTTGGGAGGTCATACCCACCATGAAGGGCATTTTAAAGAAAATAATGCTAGTTGTTAAATGTTGAAATACTGGCAGTTACATTCTCTGTACGGTGTACGGATGTCTGAAGTCCCATCAGTCTAATCTGCTTACGTTCAAAATGAGACCACTACACACAGGCAGGGTCAGCTCTTTTATTCTGTTAATTAGTTTCAACATTACTAGTTTGTAATTCTAGTAACAGTAATGTGCTACTTCTAGGACAAACTATTAAATGTGCATCTCTGATTCTACTGAATAAATAGGATACCAGGAAAAAAGTGAAGCTGCTTTGATTCTGTTTCTGCCTTTGTTTATACAGAAGAGGAAGAGACTTGCTGTTTGGGGGGTGGGGGTGTATGTTTAATATTTTTTGGCTCAACATACACCATTTCCATTTAACCTCATTCTTGTTCACTCACTTGCTGGAAAAAATTGGGTGTTGGATACATAGGACGAGGCAGATGCATCACGTTTCCCAAAAGTAAGATTTTTATGCAATTGTATCAGCAGTATTAAGACATTCAAAAACTTTTGGAGCAGGTTCTATAATTTCTTGTGTGCCTTATGGCAACATGTCCAAGCTAGTTGTTTTTCAGTCAAGTATATACATTAGTACTGATACAAAATGAAGCAAAAATTTAAAATCTAGGCTGTGTTTTCCCAAGTCATTGGAAAATTCAGAACTTACCCTAACTCCACACAACTTTGCAATTAGGCTTTTATACAATGGATTAAATTAAAAATCTGGAGCTGAGCAGCCCTTAGTGCTGAAGAAATGTAGGATCAAAATGAAAATTTTCCAAGTACATTGCTTAACACTTTCTTAACTTATGCAGAGCTGATAAAAGCTATGTGTTTGAGAGGCTGGTGCTGTCCTTCCATCAAAGATGATCATGAGATATGCCATCTTTTCTGGGGATCTACTGTGGCTTTCAACACTCTTTTAAAATCACTGCATTTTTCTCATTTCTGTCATAAGAAAAAAATTATTTTGAAGGTGAATGATGAGATTTTAAATGAAAATAGAATATAAGCGTGTAGGCATAATTTTGATCAGGAGAGGCAAAAGTGACTAATTGTTGAAAAAATATTAACAGGTAACAGTTTCAGCATCTTTCTTTGGCTCTTGCTTTTCTTTTTAGAAGCTGAGATTGAGAAGAGAGGCTGTTGTGGCACCATTCATATTGTTGTTAATCATTAAAGGACTGCCCCATGAAAAGCATGTGTTGTGGTCAGTTATTTCCTTGCTAGTCATCAAGCACCTGTAGACTGCATGTGCTAGGGGACTGGAAAAGCACTAAGGTCATTTAATAGGAGTGATAAGGTATGTGTCTGCAATTAATCAAAAGAATGGGAAGATTAATTGCAGTGCAGAGCTCAGAGAACCTCTCTTTGGATTAGATCATTCTACTTGAATAAAGCTATGTAAAGCTACTGTAGGATCTGGACTTTTAACAAACTAAACATACCCATTGCTTCTGCCAAGTATTCATTTCTCTTCTGTTGCTCCAGTCATACCACCTCTCGGGCTATATATTAGTATCCTTTTTTGCACATGGTAGGTCAAGTATTTTACTGTCACAGTCCATGATGTTCAGCTTGTTTGACTTCCTGTCCACTGCTGATGTTCTCTCTGAAAAGGAGAAAATGAACTCCTTGTCAGCTTTAAATTGTGCAAAATTAAAATGCTTTTTATTATTCATTCTAATTTAGAAATGTCTAGTTATCCTTTTCCTGATTACATCATCCTGTTTTAATGGCACGTTTGTACGTTGTATTTAAGTAATTAGGCTTTATACTCTTCTGCAGTGGGATCTGTGGGTACAGTCAGCACAGTGATAGTGATGGTCGTTTTATGTTCTAGGCAGCAGTGACTGACAGCTTTCAAGCAGTACCCTGAATAACGTGATTAACATCAATCTTGTATCAGTTTCTGTGGGGTCTGCTTAGGCATAAATGCATTCAGGGGACTGTTTTGTTTTGGAATGCTGTTTTAATATGCTGTATGTATAAATACAGACATATTTATGCATCTCTGAGGGCAGATACAGAAACAACCCACAGCTGATATGAAAGAGTGCCTTTGTGCTATTACCTACCTAGATTATATAACAGTGGATATGCTTGCTTTAACGAAGGCAGAGCTGTCTGTTGCCTAATTATGTTCTGTTAATTCCAACTGGTGAAGGGCTGCCTTAGTTTTCTAAGGCAAAATAACCACTGGCAGGGAAAAAAATCCTGTCTCTGTGCTACGACTCTGAAGAGGATAGTGCTGCCCTTTCCGTACAGCGCTACTACCTTTGTGTAACTGCACAAAAGTGGGTTTGGGCCTTTGCTTTTAACTTTTAGTTAAAACTTTTTTAACCAGTCAAGATCTGAGGGTAGTGCCAGAAGCAATGCCAGCACTACAGCAAGGAAATGAAAGATAAGGATTCATGGAAGGATTAAAACCCTCTTAAACTCTGTTCCCTCTATTCCCGCTGGTAAAATCCATGCCTGCTTATATAGGCAAGTATGTGTTCTCGACCCCATTGACACAAAATCCCTGCATTAGTTTGCAAATGACTGGTGTGTGTACACACGCGTCCGTTCCCACACCTACACTTAAAGACACACGCATCACTATTTATGTTCGGGCAGGCGAGCCCTAGGGAGAGCTTTGTGGCAGCAGACCCTGCGCTGCATTCAGCCAGCCTGCAGCCTGCTCTAGCTCTTATCAGTGGCAAAATAGCCCAAACCTGCTGCTGTTCTGCAACAACAAAGAGAATCCTCTTGTCCCATCTTTCCCCGAACAAGAATAATCTCTTTATGGCTGTTTAGACTGGAATTATGGCCAGATTAGGTTAACGATGTGAAACAAAACGCCTGCCACATAAACACAGCCCATCCCTCTCTTCTTGTTTAGATGGTAAAACACCAGCACTGTCTCTGACGTTAAGCACTTAATGACAACTAGACACAAGATTCCCCCAATAGTCCTGAAAATGTTTAAACCTTGGGGAATCACCTTAGAAAAAAAAAAAAAAGCGCACTTTTTCAGACAACAGTTAAAGAAGTAACAAATTGGCCCTTCTCCTTAATCGGATCAGTTAATGCTATTAAACAGGTAAGTGTTCCTCGGGCAGGTATAACTATCCAAAGCATTTCCACTGAGTTGCCTTAGGGTTTTAAGCACAATTACCTCTTTTTTTAATGCTAAAATTAATCTTGAGTCATTACAATTGCTATCAGAGCAGGAGAAATCAACTTCTAGAACTTTTACAATTATTATTCAGCAGCTCTAACTAAATTCCTTGTACCAGGATTTATCTAGTTAAAATTTCATACACGCCAGGCAACCTGACAAGATTCACATCTCATTTTCATGACGATCCCTATTCCCCGAGGAACAACACTCTTACAGTCCTACTCCAGCACAAATCAAGCGCCACAGAAACAATTAAGGAGACTTTGTATTATCTAAATGAAAGACTGAATGAGAATGCATTTCTAATTTTCCACTGAGATTTTTACATGTGGGCCCAACAGTACTGCTGGCATATATATAAGCATTCTATGATTCTATATGCACCCAACCTTTTTCAGTTAAGTTTTTTTTAAATAAATGTCTGTCCTTGTAAGGCTTGAAATGAGAAACCTCAGCATTTTTGCTAGTCCAGTTGCACCCGGAAAAGCTAAGTGGAACAACTAGAAAGTACTTGGATGTGGCTATGCTGTAGCCACTGCATTGCGCAGTGCAGACACACTCATTTTTAGTACACGTCTGTTGAGTTCTCCTTTTTTCTTCCTATCTTCATGTGGTCTTTTCAGTTGTTGGAAATAAGATAGCTTTACAATTGTCTTAATTCTGCTGAAGGACTTAAGCAAAATCTCTCTAGTATAGAAAGTAAATTAATGCTCCCTTTTTTCAGTCTCTCCAAATAAATTTTGCATTTTAGCGAGATAATAGAAGAATTTTGTGATATTTACTACTTCAACTGATGTTTT